CTACCCAAACTATGCCCATACAAGTCAATGTGGCCTAACATAGCTACCCAAACTATGCCTACACCCAAGACACTCCCAGACTGCAGAGACCTCCTTCTCTGGTCTTGAAAAACTGTTTTTCTTTAACATTTATTGGCATCTACCCCTAATAATGTTAGCTATATGTCACAGGAAGTCTGATCTCAGTAAATTAACTGTCTTTCTGTCTTTTACCTACAACCCTCCCTCCAGGTTATGTCTTCTGTATGCTCCATCGTCTTCCTGAGCAGCACGAGTGTCTCTTCGACCACCTGGGTCACGGGCGTCAGGAGGCTGTCCTCAAGATGGTCAAGCTCGACCGTAAGGTGGGCCGCTCATGCCAGCGTATCGGGGAGGAGTGCTCCTGAGCAGCTGTTTTCCACGCCCCAGGGAACCCTCTCAAATGGTGTCTCATTGCAAACAGGGATATGATTTTTTTTCTTTAATTTAATTCTACAGGGTTTATACCGGTTTTCTTTGGTGAGGATGCAAACCTGCATTCTTTCACTTTACAATTCAGCTCATTCTTTTGATTTCTGAACATTGTCCACTTTTTGTTTGTTTCCTCTTCCTGTCGGCTTGATCATATCCCGTCTGCTAAGATGCCTTTTGGAAAAAAAATTCTAACAAATCCAACAATGACAGAACAATCCAGAGCAAAGAAAAATAAGATCTCTTCACTTTCTTGGGAGTTCCTAACTATACAAGTATGAATGGTGTGGAAGTGAATAAAGATATGTTGAGAAAATACATCGCTTTATACAGTTGTTTGTTTTGGAAACCAGACTGTACTCTTTACCTCAGAGAAGAAGGAAAAAAACGATCAGAAGGAGAAAATGGAGAAAGAATTGGTCATCTTTCTTGCACACTTTGGCTTTGGCGCTGTTTATAAACTGTTCTATTTACCTCAGAATCCAGACCAGAGCTGCTTTGAACCCTGCACCAAGAAGGACTTGGTGAGGCAAGAAAGCTTGCCAGCCTCAAGTTAAATCATGTCTATTCTCAACCCCCCACCACTCTGCCATCCACCACGTTCAGTCTCAAAACAAACCCCCAATCACTCTCCTCAGGATACCCAAGCTCAACTTCTCCAGATCCATCCTCCTCTGCTTTATGAAACTTCATCTACTTTTTTTGTTTTGATTGAAGGCTTTTCTGCCACTGTGGACTATAAAAGTGACAGGATACTGATGCTCTGTATTCAGGACTTGCAGCTTGTGTCGAAGTTAAACACATTTAAAGCGGGGACCGCAAACTGCTCATTCTTGGATTACACAAAGACCCGTGTTTAATGTTGGGCAGTGACTGAGGAATTGACTAGCTTTTACTTTAACATTTTGTGTCAATCTGTCCCATTATCCCTATGAACTTTTCAAATTCAAGCATTTCCTCCTCACATCTAAGTTCTGTATTAGCAAGTGTGTGCTGGAAGTATGCAAAACCTTAAAGAAGAAGAAAAATAAAAAAAATACGAAAAAAGACAAGGGACTGTGTGTTGCTATGGAAAGACTGAAACTGGAAATATTACATATTGATCCACTTTTGCAAATACACACAGCCTAACTCTTTTGTTGGATGTGCTCAATCCTTGTTTAAACTGAGCACAAACGTAAAATTAGACATTGTATAATTTTTTTTGTTTTAGTGTGGACTGTATGCACGTCAGAGGGTCCTGCCACAGACGGCAACAGCTGTTCTGTTGACACATCTGATGTTTTAGGCCTTCACTGCTGCTCAGTTATGTTGCCAGCATTGAATCAAAACTGTTTTGCTTTATCTTCTTTCATCATTGCATTATTATTTTAAATATATATTTTGATTTTCAGCCAGCATGATAATCAAGTCCACCCTTCTTAATTTTACCTTTTTTAGTTCTTCAGCATTTTTTTAAATGAATATTTTACCCACTCTGCCTCCCCCTTTTGTCGTTTTGCTGTTAATGAGGGAATTCAGCCGTGATGAGCAGAGTGTTTAAAAAGCAAAATCAACACACTTGACATGTTTTCTTGGTGGACTGTGCAAAGAATGAAGAGGAAATATTCAATGAATGAATCTTGTGTATCTTAAAGAGAAGCTCGTTCAGCCTCTTTTCTGTTTCAGACTTACATTTAGGCGTTGGGCTGTGATTTATTTTTTGTTGTAATGTGGTTATGAAAAATGGGAAAATGAATGTGGAAGATTATATATTTTCTTTGCTTTACTTTGGTCTCCTTTTCAACTCATTTTCTTTTACTGGTTTAAAGAAAATAAAGTCATTTAGACAAAACATTACCATCTCTGGTGTACTTACTAAACTGTGGATTGTTTTGTGAAGTTTGTAATGGGATTTTTTTCAAATTCTTTACAATACATTTGTAAATTTGAGACTGATTTCTATATATTTTTTGCAATGGGTTTTTTAAAAAAATGCGTGTAGGTGAGATTGGTTGAGCTTAAACACTCTGGCTTCCTTCCATGTCTCAACATCTTGCTAGTGTTTTCAGTGATGTTCAATGCTTGCGGAGCGCTGCTGTAAAGCTACACCCATCAGGTCTGCATGCTTTAAAAAATCCTGTTTGTTAAAGGAGACGTTTATCTTAGCAGGCATCTGGTGGCTGCAACGTTTCTCTTAGATGGCATGCACTAATTATTACTATGGGGAAAAAATCCTGCTTCAGTGCTGATCAAAAGCTGTCTTTAACTTCTGGAGTTGGTCTGCTGCCAGTCTGTATCTAATCGTGTCCTTCCCATCGCCCAGCTGAGCCTAAACTGTACAGGTTAGCATTAAATTGTGAAGATTTTTTCTTTAAGTTCAGTTCTCTGCTGGAAATGTGACAACAGTTGCATCTCCTCTAACTCGCTCTGATTGTGCTTCTTTTTTGCTCATTTTGTAGTAAGTTGTGTGAAAAACAAAGTACACCCTCTTTCAGTTCCAAATGTATACATATCAGGACAGCTATCAGTTATTTTTCAATTAATTTTTTCCTCACTAACATTTAACCTTAAATGAGCAACATTATGGTTACAGCTTGTTCTTTTAGCTCTTTAATAAAACAGCAACGCAAAATGTAGAAGTGGCAATAAAAGCAAACCATTTTTAACATGTAGAAATAACTATGATATTATGTAAAACCAATCATCTTTTGTGACCTTATCAGTGTTTTACACCCTTACATATGATTTGTGGGGTATTCATCTTTAGTTGCTTTAAGATCAGAAAAAAAGTTTTTTGTTTTTTTTTGTTTTTAAGTCTTGACATGTTAAACTTTAGATTTAAAGCACAATGTACTTTTTGTCTGCTGTTTTATTCCATGTGTGCCATACAGGATTTTGAATCGTCTAATACAGACGGCATTACAGTTTTTTTTTATATACACTCACCGGCCACTTTATTAGGTACACCTGTCCAACTGCTCGTTATTACTTAATTTCTAATCAGCCAATCACATGGCGGCAACTCAGTGCATTTAGGCATGTAGACATGGTCAAGACAATCTCCTGCAGTTCAAACCGAGCATCAGTATGGGGAAGAAAGGTGATTTGAGTGCCTTTGAACGTGGCATGGTTGTTGGTGCCAGAAGGGCTGGTCTGAGTATTTCAGAAACTGCTGATCTACTGGGATTTTCACGCACAACCATCTCTAGGGTTTACAGAGAATGGTCAGAAAAAGAAAAAACATCCAGTGAGCGGCAGTCCTGTGGGCGGAAATGCCTTGTTGATGCCAGAGGTCAGAGGAAAATGGGCAGACTGGTTTGAGCTGATAGAAAGGCAACAGTGACTCAAATAACCACCCGTTACAACCAAGGTAGGCAGAAGAGCATCTCTGAACGCACAGTACGTCGAACTTTGAGGCAGATAGGCTTCAGCAGCAGAAGACCACACCGGGTGCCACTCCTTTCAGCTAAGAACAGGAAACTGAGGCTACAATTTGCACAAGCTCATCGAAATTGGACAAGAGAAGATTGGAAAAACGTTGCCTGGTCTGATGAGTCTCGATTTCTGCTGCGACATTCGGATGGTAGGGTCAGAATTTGGCGTCAACAACATGAAAGCATGGATCCATCCTGCCTTGTATCAACGGTTCAGGCTGGTGGTGGTGGTGTCATGGTGTGGGGAATCTTTTCTTGGCACTCTTTGGGCCCCTTGGTACCAATTGAGCATCGTTGCAATGCCACAGCCTACCTGAGTATTGTTGCTGACCATGTCCATCCCTTTATGACCACAATGTACCCAACATCTGATGGCTACTTTCAGCAGGATAATGCGCCATGTCATAAAGCTGGAATCATCTCAGACTGGTTTCTTGAACATGACAATGAGTTCACTGTACTCAAATGGCCTCCACAGTCACCAGATCTCAATCCAATAGAGCATCTTTGGGATGTGGTGGAACGGGAGATTCGCATCATGGATGTGCAKCCSACAAATCTGYRGCAACTGTGTGATGCCATCATGTCAATATGGACCAAAATCTCTGAGGAATGCTTCCAGCACCTTGTTGAATCTATGCCACGAAGAATTGAGGCAGTTCTGAAGGCAAAAKGGGGTCCAACCCGTTACTAGCGTGGTGTACCTAATAAAGTGGCCAGTGAGTGTATATAGCAATTTAAAAAGCAACTTTTTAATGAGTTTTCTTGTTGATGTGCACCAAACTTCAGTGGCACAAAAAGTAAGGTAATTTATGTTTGACATTTCTTTGCGTCTTGGCAATAAACAAGCATCTGATTGACAGCCCCTGTGGGTCCCAGAAGCTCTAAACAAGAGTCAAAAACAATAATGTTTTCAGATTAAAGGGGAAATTAAGACTTTCCAATGGTATAAGATTTATTGCCAAGAAGCATTGTTACAACAAAGAAATAATCCACCAAACACAAATGTATTTACATTTTCTGCTAAGTTTAGTTTAATTTAATTTTTGTTTTTTGTATTTTAGCCTATTTATTTCTGACAGGAAGAGCATGTTTTCCTCTTCCGCGGAATAAGGTTTGTAATCTTTTAAGCCCTCCTTAGGCTTTCTGAAGCCCTCCTTGTTACGTTTGTTACTGTCTACACTCCTCTTCATGTTAAATGTTTTCCTGATTATATTATGACACCCTGGTTGAAGCCTCGCGCCAGATCTGAGTGCAACGAGGAGCATGAGCTGTGTATTTGCAGGAGGCTGCCCAGTGTTGGAGAAGGATTTGGAGCATAAGATGTTGTGGCCAGTGGTTAGTAATCTTCTTACAGCTCAACAAATAAGAAAGCCTGCCATTCTTTCCGCCTTGATTGGCTACAATCAGCCATGTACTCAATCTGTATATTGAACACTGCCTTCTCTCTTTGCCCTTCATCTTTAGACTGCAATCACTTTCACTCTCCAACATGCTCACACTTTTTTTTCTCCCACAGCACAAGAGGGGAAATTGCTGATGCGTTCGTTTCTTCTCAAAGAAAGTTTGAATCAGATATTAGAATTAAATAAAGATCTTATGTAAACATTTTAAAGCAATTGTAGGTAACAATGTTTGAAATGAGAGGATCACTTTCACTGTCGGCTGCTGTTTTCCAGTCAGAGCTCGTCTTCTACAGTGTTGGTATAAGTTCACTTGTTCTTATTCAATTTGATGAGCACTCAGCAGTGTGATAGTATGTCTGTAATTACATTGCAGCCATTACATCCACTTTAGCACACAGTTTTGTCATCCAATAGGATCCTAAATAACACACAAAAATGGAAAACTAATCTTCGATTTAGATAATGTAGCCCATGTTTTAAAATGGGAAGTGTTGGCTTCAGATTTTAAAGACAGGCTGTGTAACTCAGAGTTAATGGTTGCATCAAGTAAAATGTATTTCGTCAGTGCATAAACAATGCATATAATTAGTAATAATGTAGCTAATGCAAAAGGAAACCTGACTAGATTATGAATTGTCCCACAGGTTTTAATCTAGGTTAGCTATTTTAGTTTTCAAGGCAGTGTTGGGGAATAATGTTTGTTAAAGCGGCATTGTTGTAAAATTTGCTTTCAGTGTTTAAAAGTTCCCGTGAGTCCAGGATTTAAAAATTGGTGTTTTTTATCACTCTGATGCAGTTCAGAATCTTGTTACAAATTTGTATCATGTGCATCATTAGAGGCATAGTTCACGTTTTTGAAAAGTTATGTAGAATAGTTATGTGTAGTTAGTGTCTTACATGCATTAGACAACAGTCAAAGCAATTAGTTTGAAGAATTGTAGAGATCATCTCACAAGGATGTTAAGCAAATCAAGGGCTTCTTTAAGAGTGAGTTTCTCTCATCTAACACAACTGGGACCTTGTCACCACAGACACCATCTTTTTATTTGTTGTATCTAAAAAAATTCTCGTAAACATTTCACTGTTTGTAGAATATTTCTTCTTCATAGAAACACCAAAAAAACGTCCAAAGCACTTATTTTACAACAATGGCCTTTTTGTTGCACTTGTTTAGTAGGTTAGTTTAGATGTGTGGTTTGATGTCGTTTTCAAAAGGCTGTGTTTTGGTTTGACTACATGAAAACTCAAAGGTGGCTTTTTAAGATTAAATTTATTTTATGCTGAAAACCAATTTTCAAAAAATATAATTTTGGCCTTTCTTAAATGTTGTTTACATGAGGCCAGGCTGACGCAACAAAATCTAAGGCGTTAAATTGAGGTCGTTAGTTTTGCTCAAAATAAAAGTTTTTGAAACTGAAAAAAAAAAAAGCTATTTGAAACTGAAATATAATTTTAAAACTGACCCCGGCTACAGCCTGGATGTTTATACTGCAAATTGAGTGCTTCCCCTGGTCAAAGTTAAACAGTGACCCAGGCCGACCGCTTGAGCTCCGTGTCCCTGGAGCTAAACCCATTGCACCTAAATGCATATTATCAGGTATAAAACAAATCGAAAGGAAGAGGAGAGACAGTCTGCAAACACTGTATGGAACTAATTGCTAAATAATAACTAATAACTGCTAAAAAAAATGACCTTTTAATGGACTGACAACATTTGATTCAAAGCAGGTGGTTCCTGAATGCAACAGCTTGTCCAGCCCGTGTTGAGCTGTCAGTCATGATTCTGCACTCCATATCATCCGAGGCCCCGCCCCCACACCAAAACAGGGCCAAAGGTTTGAAACTGCAGAAATTTAATTTGAAATAAAAAAATTGAAACTGATGATACAAGANATTCTATTCTATTCTATTCTATTCTATTCTATTCTATTCTATTCTATTCTATTCATACTTTACTGATTTTTTTATCCAAACAATCAATGATTGAAAAAGATAAATCAGGAAAATTAACAAG